TCTGCAATCGAACCCAAAACCAATTCTGCTACCCAAACTATTCTGCAATCGAACCCAAAACCAATTCCTGCTACCCAAACAAATTCTGCAATCGAACCCAAAACCAATTCCTGCTACCCAAACCAATTTTGCAACCGAACCCAAAACCAATTCATGCTACCCAAACCAATTCTGCAACCGAACCCAAAACCAATTCCTGCTACCCAAACCAATTCTGCAATTGAACCCAAAACCAATTCCTGCTACCCAAACCAATTCTGCAACCGAACCCAAAACCAATTCCTGCTACCCAAACCAATTCTGCAACCGAACCCAAAACCAATTCCTGCTACCCAAACCAATCCTGCAACCGAACCCAAAACCAATTCCTGCTACTTAAACCAATTCTGCAACCGAACCCAAAAACAATTCCTACAACCAATTCCTGCAACCCAAACTATTTATGAAAGTCCAAACTAATTCCTGCAGCCCAAACCAATCCTAGTCCAAACCAATTCCTGGAGTTCAAACCAATTCCTACAGCCCAAACCAATCCTAGTCCAAACCAATTCCTGGAGTTCAAACCAATTCTTGCAGCCCAAACCAATCCTAGTCCAAACCAATTCCTGCAGCCCAAACCAATCCTAGTCCAAACCAATTCCTGGAGTTCAAACCAATTCTTGCAGCCCAAACTAGTCCTAGTCCAAACCAATTCCTGGAGTTCAAACCAATTCCTGCAGCCCAAACCAATCCTAGTCCAAACCAATCCTGCAGTCTAAAAAAAATCCTGCAGCCCAAACCATTCCACGTAGCCCATACCAGTTTTGTAGTCCAAACCAATCCTGCAACCTAACCATTTTGTGCATCCCGAAACCAATTCCTGTAGCACAAACCAATTCTTGCAGCCAAAACCAATCCTGCAACCCAAACCAATTACTACAACCAAAACCAGTTCCATTCATACCTACAACATATTATCTTTCAGAATATGCATATGGAGGTCATCCTTTTCCTATAAGTGGTGTCTTTGAAATTCTACCAAAACAAGCTGAAGAACTAGGAGAACAATTTAGATTTAAGTAAGTTACCAATTGATAATAATTTTGTTTAAGTAAGAAACAGACTGATTTGAGTAAATTACTGATTGATATAGTATTTAAAGGCATTACACATATTCAAGTTACTGGTTTGAAAAGGGATTTAAACGAGTTACTGACTTATGATGTATTTAAGTTACTGATTGATCAAGGATTTAAGTAAGTTAATGACTGATGATATTTTTAAGTTACTGATCGATAAAGGATTAAATAAGTTACTGACTGATGATGTGTTTAAGTTACTGGGTTGTTAAATAAGTTATACCACTCTTTGCCATGTGCTATTTTAAGTATTCTCTTTATTTTCTGTAACTGACACTTTTCTCCAGAATTGGTCAGTTTCTTTGATTGCAAACTATCAGATTACTTTACTTTGCTTGTTCAAAGCGGTCCAATTTACTAGTAATTTACCGGAAAATAGGACATCTGCTTTGTTGCAAAGTGTCCACATTTACTGGTCAATCAAGAATTTTCTGACAGAAGTTGTTCTCTCATGAAAAATAGCATTAGGGTGAAACTTACTTCTTTGTAGAAACTGGTAAAATCAAACTATAAAAATGAGTAGAGCTATGTGTTATAACATAGTCAACGATACTAAAAACACTACAATTTACATGTACAAAGATATCACTGGTAGTTAATGAATGTCACTGGTAGTTAATGGATGTGACTGGTAGTTAATGGATATCACTGGTAGTTAATGGGTATCACTGGTAGTTAATGGGTATCACTGGTTATGGTGCAATGCATAGTGCTGACTCAGTAGAAGCTCTAGCTTTGACTGAAAAAATAGTAACTTTCGACACACAGATTAAAAAAGAGTCTAAAATCTGTACCCAAAAGATGTTTTTTGCGGAAAGCTATGGACACAAATTCAGGTTATTTGGCATTGTCATGGCAACAGTGGGGCATGATTTTTTTCAATTGTGTGCCCTGCTTGGCAAATTTGAGCAAAATCGGTCAGCCAAAAAAAAAGTTGAAAGCAGAGTAGAATGAGATATGTCCATGATTTTTACTCCATGATTTGTAGGAGGAGACATCTTTGGCATGAGGGTAGGAAGAGTTTTTTTTCAAGATAAAATTGCAGAATCTGTTAAAGCACTAAACAGTTAACACTTCCACTCTAGAATATTCAAATTCCAGTTTTGTTTTTCTCACTTAATTATCTATTTTGATACGCCCTAAAATAAACAATGATAATATCTTCATTGATTTTAGACTTACAGAAGCCCCTCTTATCTCAACATTGCTAAAAAAAAGTTATGTCTTTAACCAGAATCAGTATGCAATAAAAAGAATCTGTTCTGTATACAGTATATATATATTTCTAGATTGATTGAAATGTAAATAATAATATAAATATATTTTCGTAAAATTGCAGTTTTCATCAAACATTTTCATTTTAAGTTGTAAATAAAAAGAATTGATTCCTTGAATAGCATACTGTTTTCGTATATTCTAAAGCCCTTCAGTTAATGAGTTCATGTAATCCCCATCTCTATCAAAGCAATGAATGATAATAACAGACTTGAATCCTTTAATGATATAGTTTTTATAGATTCAAGGTCTTTTTATCATAGACTAGTATGTCCTTGATGTGAAGGTATACAACTTCAGATGATGAGTCATGTACAAGCAATACATGTTTTGTTCAGTAATTGAAAATAAAGATACATTTGTATTGTATACTACCATTGAGGATCTACTACACCTAAGTGGTATTGTCACTTAATACTAAAAACAAATTCTTATGCTTCAGATAATCTCAGACCAAGTCATATTATAAACCACTCTTCGTTTCCCAACTATATTGCAAGTTAATTGTCTAAACTGAGAATGCACAGTCCCTATCCCTTGTTGATTTAAAAAACAAATATTGTTCATTTAGATGATTACATTATATTTTTGTTTCTATGATAAATAAATCCTTTATCAAAGAGAAAAGTGTATCTGAAGTAAAATTACCATCCTTT